GAGCACTGGCATGCATTAAGCACGATGATATTTCACGGTCTTCTCAGTGGCGTGTACCCTATCCATCTCCATGTTCTTCTTCATATTTTCTCAACAATCGGCTCGTGGTCGGTTTGTCGGCTACCAGAGTTTCCTGTTGCTTATTCTTTCTGGCTAGCCAGCCATTTAATCTTCGATAGACTTCGATAGCTTTTAAAGCCAGCTGTTGATAAAAGTTTGAAATGTGTTGGAAATGCTTTTCGTGACTCACATGCAGTGCAAGTTTCTGACCCACACGAAAGAAGCGACTGACTGAGTTCACACTTGTGTTGAATAGAATCCAAATAGTTTTCTTCATGCTGGCTGGCTGAGTGAGGTAGAAGATTTCCAAACTAATTTCAGATTGATGAAGGTGTATGTCGCCTTTCCGATACTCCCACTGATGGCGATTGTTGCAGTTCGTTGTTGCTGTTGGTTGGTTCTCTTCATCACACCCGTCTTCCCCATGTTCATCTGAAGTTAGTCCTGTCTTCGCTGCTTGCCAGATCCTTCAGCCAGTTTGTTGCCTTTCGCCTATTAGTCTTCAAGTTTTTGTGACAATAATATAAATCGTCCATATGCAAAATCCAGATCTTCCAGAGTGCCCTTATAAGTAACTGCAGCCTTCTCACTCACTCCCTACGCACAGTCTGATGCATGATTCAGTCCTTTACAAAGCTCAATATTATCGTGGGTTATAAGTGGCAGCCAGACAGCCTTGTCTTACCTCCGTATTCACTTAAAATCGTGGATTCGCCGAGTTTTTTGTTGTGGACCACCTAACTGGCACTTGGCAGACATTGTCATGTAGCCAGCTGTTGGATATGGTTGATAAAGATTTTGAGCGCTGCACTCCATAGTGTAGTTTTGAAGTAGTTTCCAAATTATTTCTCGATCAACATTGGCTGTCGAAGTCCCTTTTGAAGTCGATGAAATAAATTGAGGTAGAGAGTGATGGCTGACTGCAATTCTGTGACTCGTTCTGTGATGATGATGATGATGATGATGATGATGATGATGATGATGATGATGATGATGATGATGATGATGATGATGATGATGATGATGATGATGATGATGATGATGATGATGATGATGATGATGATGATGATGATGATGATGATGATGATGATGATGATGATGATGATGATGATGATGATGATGATGATGATGATGCATAGAGCTGCAATTCGATCAGCACAAGATTAGCCTTCCCTAAATCCAGTTTGTTCCGGATGGCGCAGTTTTGCATGTAGTGTATTTTTCATTCTCTCCAAGATGATGAGACTTAGTTTATTACCTGGTGTGGACAACAGCATGATTCTACGCCAGTTCTTCCAGAGGCTCGAGTCACCATTTTCTGGTAGTTTGAAGAGTTAGCTTTTCATTCAATTCAGTGGCACTTTTCCTTCCCCCAAAAACGTTTGCAATAATGGCGTGAGCGCATATGCCACAGTCTGTGGTTGTGTCTCCAGTGCTTTCTGGGGAATTCCGTTTGGCCCTGCTGCCCTCGCGTACCTCAGTACCTTGATTGCATACAAGATTTCTGCTTTTCTAGTGTCTACTGGTAGCTCTTTGAATGCAATCGAGGATATTTCTAGAAGAGTTGCAGGTGATAGTCTAATAAAGAGTCTTTTGGAGTGTTCAGCTCCTTCTTCTAGTGAATAAGTAGTTACTAAGAGTGGATGATCTGGCTATAACTTGGGTCTTTTCGCTCTGCTTGCAGCGGACCAGAATGGTAATTCAGTGGCCATGGCTTCGCGTCTTGGCACCATTCACATATTCGATTTCATCTACAATCCTCATTAAATATGGAATATAGAATAAGCGGTTTCACTAGCCAGTAGAATTTTCACTCTTTCAGAAGTGAATATGCGCGTGATTCTGATCGCAATCTATCCTATTCGTGCACCTATTTTTTACTAACTCCAGGTGCACTTTCTTTCGGGATAGAAATACTGCCAACTACTATTTATGGAAACAAGCAGAGTACATAGTATGATCTGAATAATTTACCTGTGAGTCATATAAAAGGAAAAGTGGTCAGGGAAGAGTTACTCTTTCCGGCGATATCATTCTCAATCTCTTCAATCGCACATACATAGTAAATGGTCTTAGGAACGAAAGAAATATTTCCAAAGATGTGTCATTAGAAGTTAATCGGTGGATAGTGACTAGTGGTGGAATCCATTATAAGGTGCATTTCGTCCAAACTGAGACTCGTCGACTGGAATCACATGCATTCCGCAGTAAGTGATGATGTTCCCACCGAAGCTCCAACGCAGTGGCCATAGTTTTAAACGCCAAAGCATTATCCACAAGACCACTTAGGACACGAGAGCCACTCCACCTCTTGTGCAACGGCTAATGTTGGACCGAAGTACTCGGTTGCTTTGGAGTTTGAAACTTTAGGCACTGGGTTCGAGCCTCGGTGGGAACATCATCACTCACTGTGAAATGCAGGTACATCCAGCTGATGAGCCAGTCCCAAATAGATCGAAATATGCCTTATCCTGGATTCTACTCCTACTCTCCATCCCCCAATCAACTTCGAATAACATGCCCAGACATCGTCGAAGCATCTGCACAAGAAGTTGACATGACAACCTGAGATTGAGCACTTCACTCCAATCAGTAGACGGGAAAATCTGAAATTGAATTAAGTAATGTGTCATTAGAATTGTAAATTTGTGTTAGGTAACAAATTACACAATGCAGAAAGCTTTAAACGGGAAGGAGCTTAAGTAACATTAAATAAGTAAATTGAGCGACGTTATATAACTGACAATGTTGCGTAGAGCTATGGACCGATCAGGTTCATTGTAGATTTAATTACTGAACAAACTTCCTTTTCTGAATGCAGAGTTGAGGATTTAACACGTGAATTGCTCCGTTATTACTGCTTGTGCTCTGTTTGAAGAAGTTCGATTCGTGTTCATTGAGCTTCCGTACTCTCACGTTTTCTGTCTATAACTTTGAAGTTCTTTTGTGGGTTCGCTTGGTGTCTTGACTCGATCAGAAGATCGAGAATTAAGCTTCGGGGGCATGCCTTTTGGCCTTTATAATTTCCCTTTCCAAAGAAAATTGTAATGATTTTGATGTGGTTATGTTCTCTCAGCTTGATAATTAATTTGCGGAGCTTTCATTGCCTCACCACTAGGCAACATCCTGACTTCAGCGCATACTTCAATTTGAAGTGAGCTTTTAAATTTCCCCACGAGTTTATTAGTCGTCCCTCCTGGTCACCTTTAGTGTGATTGACTGTCTTTGTGTGTTTTCACACCCTCTAGGCTACTTGTATTGGAACTGATTGTTTCCTTGACTTGATTCTTTGTGTGTCAGATTTCCTTCTTATCGGTTGGTAAATTTTGTCTATCTCGATGTGTCTATTGACTGACGGTTCATTGGAATACCAGGCTTCTAAAAATTCTCTAGCATTCTTGGTGTTTATTCTGTCTAATATTTGTAAGTTGTCCCAGTCGAATTGATGTTCTTGGTTTCCTGTATATAGTGATATGAGGGTATGGATTTCATTTCTTTTGAAGGCTATCTGTCAAATCTCTCTTCAAATTGAAGTATGCGCTGAAGTAAGGATGTTGCCTAGTGGTGAGGCAATGAAAGCTTCGCAAATAAACCACCACCCAGCTCAGAGAACACAACTACATCAAAATCATTCACCTGAGCTACAGATCTTCTCAATCATTTCGAAACTGTAATAAATTTTTAAATTGAATCATGGTTATTACAGATCAGGAGTTTGATTAACCGAAAATTTGATGGTCTCTTCAATGGTAGCGGTAATATACCCTCCACATGGAGATGTTTCTTCTAAAATGGTTGCAAAACTGGCCAACAGGTCTGCCTATTCAATTCAATCTATCGACCGCTAAACTTCCAGCACTGATGTTTATTGCGAAAAAAGTCGAACACATGCTTCTCATCACAAACCACATTATTCTACTGCCGATTACTTCTTATGTCAATGCACATACGGAATATGAACACGCAGGGAGCCGCAGTTACACCTCGCAGGTAACAATTGGAGAACGTGTACCTAAACAGCTTGAAAACAACTAAGCTTTCATACTGTGATGTATGCAAAGTGCACTCAATCAGCTTCACCCGAAGTAGAGTAATTTGTTGATATCAAACATAAGATTGATGTTCAAACAGCTTTCGAAATTCGATACAAAAAGCCTTAGGAGGTATTCTGAAGCTTTCGGTATTCTCAAAGCAATTTACCAGTCCTTATCTGAATATACTGCCAAAATGAATGTTAGTCATTCTCCTTCTCTTTAATTTTTAATACCCTGTTATTTAATTATTTTATCTTAAATTTCATCTCTTCACTTCCGCAGTAATTTTTTAAAAAATGAGACATGTGAGGATCAGATCGACTATTGTATTTTTCGGATAAAATCTGACTTTTAATAAATCTTAATTTCATTCTAGACGACGGAGGATTGATACCAGTTACAGGACCATTGAAAACCAGCACTGGAGTAATGGACAGCTGTTTCATCCTAGTTTTGGGACTCATCGGCCATTGAGTTGGGTCCCAGTGGCTGAATGATTCAAGAGCTCGCCTTGTCACCTGAAAGTCCTTGGTTCAAACCCTGGTGATGCATGCGTGCTGCGGACGAGTCTCAAACTAGGATGAAACAGATTTCCAGTACTCCAAGGATGGTTTTCCCGTGGTTCTCCATGGTTGAAACTGAAACAAGTAGAATCCCTACCAAACTAATTCTGGATTTTTACATTGTTTCTGATTTCGAATTCAAACAGTGGTGGTGTAAGGGAGAAAAAACCGATGAGACACGAAGGAATGTTTATTAGGATAAACTCATTGTTGGTACATAAATTTGGTATCTCATATCTCCAATGATTTATTGCACACCATTTACAAGTTGGACGAATATCACCACGCTCGATAGCTTATTGAATTCTGCACAGTGTTTCTGACGTTGTTCTCACAGTTCTATCCTTCAATTGCTTTTTCCAATGTCCGAAACATATTTGTGCTTTTTTGAATTAGTTTATTGATATACAAATTCTATCTGATTCTACGTAGCACTCACCACAATTGTATTTCAAACGTGATTCATGAGTATTTTTATTCAAATGGAGTAATATGCTGACTAGTGGTCGCTTTCAGTCAAATGAAGTTAAGATATTCCATAGGTCAAAACGCTTGGTATGATTTTCTCAGTAGTTTATCCACATTTTTCAGTGATTGTATTTAAAAGACAGAAGATTGAGAGCAGAAATATGCATTCCTTTCAATTAGTTCCTTATCAGCGGCTCTACACAAACATATAGATCTTTATATCAAAATGTTTTACCAATCAAATGGTTATTATAACTAATCTGTTTAAGGTATACCTAGGGTTACAGGTCATCAAAACAATGTTAGTAATAAGATATGTGAGTTTCGAAGGAGGGAGGCGTGACAATTAAAAAGAGAATTCAAGAAAAGTCCATTCTTAGGCATTAGCACCAAGTTATTACGTAATCGAGAAATTTGTAAAATTTTAATGGTGACTAAGAAGAATAGGATAGCTCAGAAGAATCATGTAAAATACAAACAAGTTAATAGAATTAGTTAGCATTGTATATGTAATGAAATAACGAAGTCGAAAAATAGTTACTAGGGGAGGGGAAAAATCATTTTTATAAACTTTATACACATTATGTAGTCGGTCATAACAAATAAAGGGGTTGTACAAACTTCTGCTGAACTCACACACAGAGATTTGGCTTGTTCAGATTATTTTACTTGCCTCTGCAGTATGTAAAATTCGTATCCTCGGACTATGCAGCAAGAGGTTGGGTGATATATGATAAGTAACTTTAAAAGCTTTGTAAGAGTCAACTTAATTTCTAGCATCGACGAGATGAGCTGGTATTGAGCTGCATATAGCTACTTTATTCGAACTTTTGCCAAAACAAAATGGTAGGTGTTCAGAAATTCGAAGATAACTTGGCCTGACTGTACGCCCTATGTAACTAGCTGCGCACGAGCAGCTAAACTGCTAAATACATATGGCAGAGGCGAAACAGCGTAGTCTGTCTCTATTTCTTGAACTAAGTATTGATTCGTTAGTGGATATACAACATAATTAAGCAAGGTTGAAAGTCCTTATGAATGCTTTTCTCAGACGCTGTAATAAGATCTCGCTATTGAAATCACCCATAGTTGCAATCATAGGAAGACTGATCTTTTGGGAATAGTGCGCACCTTTGAGTTTTTACTTCCTGAGTTCGTGTGTTTGTTCAAGAATTTAGTATGATATCCATTCCCACTGAGTAGATCACGAGTATTACCAAGTTCTTCATTTAGCATCTCATTTGAACAGACAACTCTTACCTGAAGGACCAGACATCTTACCAAATTACGTATATTATCCCGACGTAGTAGGTTTCTGATGCAGACGTCTACAGATTGTTCTGTCTGTTCATTTTCTTGTTAGGATGTCCAAAGATGAGATCGATAGAAGGAGACGAATTAGATTTAAAACAAAACATTTTTCTAATCTCCCATTCAATGGCATTTGTAAATACCGAACTGATATATTGTTAATTCACACAGAATGACTTCTTTTCGAATATTTTCGCGCATATGATCATTCTGCTCAAACACAACTAGATATTATGAACTTTATGTGCAGTCATACTCTCATAGGTGATGTCCATGTTTGCGCAGTGGCGGCACCGTAGCCAATGAAGGAGCAGTTATTGTTAGTTGAAACTACTCCCAATATTCCTCACTGATGGTATTTTGTGCGTCAGTGGCACAGCAGTTAGGACGCTCGCCGACCATGCACATGGCCTAGGGTTCGATCCTCAGCAGACGCACAACCGATATCAGTGGTCGGCCTGAAAAATTCTGGCTACCGATGTGACATGCTGAAAATTCCATACTTCTATCAAAAATACTGTGTGGACTGGCAAAACATTCTAATTCGACTACACCTGAAATATGACAGCATAACTTCCATGTTACTTAGTGGTTGATGTGGCTAGCAGTGAAATCAAGCCATCATCAACCAAATTACATCACTGTCAATCATCGCATATCACCGAATTGGCTGTATTGAGAGTCGACATGTCGACAGAAACCAAACATTTTGGGTCAAATCAGCCAATAGCGAAAACTGAATTTTACTTTATTTGTAAATTAAAACAATACTGAGCTATGCTAAGTAGTAACTTTAGTATTTGCCCAGCTCTTATCCAATTAGGAACAACATGCATTAGTTAATCGACTATTAGTTAAAACATAAGAGATTTCACACCAGGATTTCAAAAACAATAATTCTAATCAGTTACAAATGATTTAGTTACAAGATTTCATCATGTGCTGACATTGGTTAGAGAACCATTGGAAAACAAGCTGGGAGTAGTGAACAGCCGGCTGTTCCGTCCTAGTTTGGGACTCTTCATCAGTACGCACTGACCGCAAGAGTTCGAACCCAGCACCTTCTGGTTACAAGGTCAGCGGTCTCGACGACCATTAAGCCAGTGGGACCTGATCCATTGGCCATTGCATGAATTCCAACTTCTGCCAATTCACGACTTAGCGTGACCACTAGCCAATGTCTTCGGCGAGTATTTATCCTCACACCTGACCTGCTGCACCCTACTGATGAAGATTCCCAAACTAGGACGAAACAACTATCCTGTACTTCCAGGTTTTCCAGTGGTTCTCTAACCAATGTCATCTCATGATGAAATCCTGTAACCAATGAATCAAATCCCTTCAATCCAATACTTGAATATCAATGAGATGCTCACTAGTGACTGGTTTTATTCAAGTAGGTAGTAGAAAGTAATGACCAGTAAGGTGCAGCAGGCCAGGTGTGAGGACATATACTCGCCGAAGACATTTACTAGAGGTCGCACTTTGTCGTGAATTGGCAGAAGTTGGAATTCATGCACTGGCCATTCGATAGGGTCCCGGTAGCTAAGTGGCCTACGAGGTCGCCTTGTAACCAATCAGTCAAATCCCTACAAACCAATACTTGAATACAAATGATTTACTTTTGAGCAACAAGTCACTTTCAGAGTTTTTTGAACAGTCCCGTGGATAATCTCTGGTTACTGAAACACTGAGTGCTAAAATGGGGTCATGATGAAAACATCATCAATGCAAGCTGACGAGTTCCAAGTTGGATGAAAGAGATTCTGCATCCCATTGTTCTATCCACAATGAATGAACTCAGTAAAGATTATCATAAGGTTTCAGCAACAAAAGACTTTTCTTAAATAAGCTATATATTTGATATCCATATATGTATATATATATATATGTTTTTTTCAAAAGAATGGTTCCTGAACAAAGAATACTCTTTTCGATAACTTTACCGTCAGGTTCTACAATTATATATACACAATATTGAATGAATTAGTGTTATGAACAACAATAATGTTGTTTAAATAAATGCGAATCAATAGATTTCAGTTCAATAGGATGAAAATAACAATAAGCTCAATGTCAGAAAAATTAGGAAAGATATTAATGCAAATTCATGAATTTATAGTCTCTACTGAAAGACAGCCAGGGCAGTAGTAGGGGCTGGACATGCTTCTTTTCAATACAGAACACTGGTTGTTTGAGGCGAATTCCAATAGCCGCTACTGTCTGGAGTATTCGGTACCTGAAAATTATTGGCAATTTATTTGGTACCCGATAGATGATAGAGAAGGATTCATCAACGTTGGCTGGCTTTTTGACTGACCGGTTCGGACCAAATAGTCTAATATCGAACTGTTAATGGTTTTCACTACACCTTTACTTAGCCATAGTGTGAGATGTTTCCAAGCACGAAAGATCAATTTCCTAGAGCAATGGTCGATATAAATCGCACCACAAGCGCAGTTGAATTGGTAGATATAATTAGAAGTGGCTAGTCTAGGTACTTCATCTTTCAGTCGAGGTAGCACCATCGGTCATGTAGAGATTAATACGTGTAGTTCGCGAGCATTAAAAGTTCTTTGAACTGATTTTCTTAATTTCTTCGTAATTATCTCGCTTGGTATATCGCCCTTGAATTGCAGTCGTATATATATAAAGGTTTCTTGTTTACGGATAGTGAGTAGTCCTTTTCTTCTTTCTTTGCCATGTGTTTCTTGATAAATTTGTCAGGATAGCTATTTTCAATCAATCACAGTATCATATACAATGCTTAATTCATCTTCAATTACTTCTTCTGAGCATAAAACTCCAACTCTTTGGCTGGGGGTCTCTGCTAAATTTCTTTTGTACTGCAGAGGACCAAAGCTATGAAAATGTGTATTTTGTCCTGTCCATGTACTTTTTCTACGCAAGTTTCTTTTTATGCTACCATCCGATTTTCACGTAAGGAGGACATCCAGGAAAGCAATTAATTCTGTTTTCGAATTCCTCTTCACATGTGAATTTCATAGCAGAATGTACTTCATTGAATTCAGTAATTATTTAACTCCTATCCGAATCATTATCACAAAGAATGAAGGTGTCATCCATATACCAGCAATAAAATGGGAACTTTCTGATAAGATTGTTCAAAGGTCCATTTTCTAATTTACTTAGAAAACTAAAATCGGCCAAAATGAGACACAATGGGGAGCCCATCGCCACCCCGTCCGCTTGCCTGTTAAGCGTGCCGTCAAATTTGAAATTTACATTCATGGTACACCTTAATAAAAAAATCCTTTAGGATTTCAGTACGGATGCCAATGTTTATCGACTGGTTATATGTATAATACAACTGGAATCGTATAGCATTAAATAACTTACAAATATTAAAAGCATATTTTGTATGAATTAGCTTTTTGAGTTGCCTCCAATTTAGATAACCTCGTCATAATATACCCATATACATGCAGTTATTTAGAGGAGTATAATTACATTCTACTCAAATATTACAACAAAATTATTTCGGAGATTAAAGTATCATTTACTGCATGTTTGAGCATTCATCTTTCGCTCCAATTCATTCGAGTCAATTTATCATTATTGTCAGTCGATAAATATGTAGGCTTGATGTAGGTTTTGTATTGTTTCCGAGACGCATGAATTCCCTCCATGAGTAGTTTTGAAAGTGCACACTCCCCCCTACTGTGTTGTTTTGTGTTTGCCTGAAATTAGACAAAAAAAACAACCCTTAAATTATGTAATGAGATTTTGCCTTGACATTATCATGATGAAGTTGGATTTTTAGTAATGAACTCATTTTCTACTAATAATAATTAATAATAATAATAATTTCTAGTAGTGGTTGAAATGAATGATGCCATTTTTGTAACTAAAAGAAATTACATTTTCACTGGATATTATTAATATATATGTGGGTTTCCCTTGGGTTCCAAGTGGAACATAGGACTTCAACAACACTTCTCCAACTTGTTTTATGTTCTCTTCAGTTGGGCCCACGATTGTACACAATTTCTCATCTCCTCTTCTACAAAACATACGATCTCCTCCATGTCATCCTCAGATGACCTACTTGAATTCCAAACGACTGATGGCCTGTAATGAGCGCCATGTCATTCAACAGTCTCCTAAGTGGTGTATGCCCAATCTACCTCCCTTTTCGATATAATTATAAATCTTTGGCACTGTGATAGAGCATAACTCCATTATGGATAAGATTTTATTTTGATAAATCACACAGTGTTTTACAGTAATATTAACTGATGACGTTTCCAGCATAAAGTATTGCTCATAATCATATCTTCCATTGTGACAGGGCTGCAAATTCTGCCGATTCTGTCGCTCAGAGAATTTTTCTGATTTCGTTTTGTACATAGAGGCGCTCAAATGTGAAAGTTAGTGGGTTGTCTGTTCCATGTTGATTTTCTCTAGATGTATGTTTTTAGTGTTCCATCTTGTTAGTTGAACATCGAGAAAAGATATTTGTGTATTGGACTCCTTCTGTACTGTGAACTGTTACACAGGATGGCAGTTTTTGTAAGCGTTCAGGATGTCCTCCGAATTCTCCTTATTGCTGGAGAGAATGAAAGTGTCATCCCAGTATCTTTTTTAAATTTGATGTCGGCGCTTCTTTTAAATCCATGATTAAGTTAGTTGTCTTCCAGCCACAGATTTGAATTCGCCAAAGCCTTAGACATGCATGTGTTTAAATATGTTTAATGTTTTTATAAATAACTAGTTAGCCACTGAAGAACCATCAACAATCCAACTGGAATGGCAGTGAGTTATTTACTCAAGAATTCTTTTCACGTATCGCTTATTCCACCTCTAAATCAACCTTTTGTCCTATATTGATTCTATTTTCACCTGCTGAACCTTTTTAACTTTTATATAAATTGATATAAGTATAAAACTTGGGCACTGTGGTAGAGCATAACTCCATTACAGATAAGATTTTATTTTGATAAAGTGTCACACAGTGTTACACAGTAATATTAACTAATGACCACGTTTCGAGCACAAACTATTGCCGCTCATAATCCTATCAAGTCACTTACACAAATTTCTTGCTTCATTTATATACATGTGTGGAATTGACTAGATATTTGAATGAAAGTCAATATTGGATAATGTACACTCAGAAATAATAATATGAGTGTTATCAATCAAGTACAATCAGATGGGAAATAAGACGAGTGTTTTTATAGTTAAAATAAGTAACTTGTTAGAATGTTATAATGTACATGAATTGAAATAGAATTTTGAGATTATTTACTATCCTCCTCTGATTTAACTGACTGGTGGTGATAATATCTTCCATATCTCCGGCATTTGCATTGAGTCATTTCTGTTGCATGTGTTGTGTTGGGTGTAGATTATTCGATGAACCAGGCAGGATTCAGTTATCAATCTCCCTCTCCACCTACATAGATTACTTCTTAGAATTTGGACTCTGTCCCACCCTATTGTGTAGTTGTGTGTTACTGCATGCAGTGCGATTGCTGAGCTTTTTTCTAAATTACTCACATGTCTTCGAGGGATCAGCCATTCTTACCTTAGCTAAATTCTTGTGTTCCGACAATCGGATTACCCTCGATCTATGATAACCTTAATGACAAACTTCAGAGACCTACTGATAAGAAAGATTTTCCAGTCATAAGATTGTCAAGTTCTAAGTTCCGTAGGTGCACAATCAACACACAGGAAGAGCCGGATCAGTGCCTTCAATGTCCTAGGGTACACCTGTAAGGTAGACAGGTAGACATTTCATAGAAATAATATAAACTGGATGCGCCAACAGCTGTTGCTTATCACGAGAATAACAAGACACCCCTCTGAATAAATTTTATAGAATTACATCTTTCTGAAAATCGACAATACTTTTCCGATTGTAGGAATTTGTGACTTAATTTCGTAAACTGAAGTCGCGCATACAACATTAAGGGAAACTATGGGGATGTCGACTGTAGTTCAGGTTTGTCCTTAACGTTTACACAAGTGGAAGGGCAGCACGTTTCAAAAGCCAACGTCTACAAACCCTTATTATTCAGTGCGTAGAATCTACACAAATTTCATGCTAAGGGTGATTAGTCAAAGTTTTCTGAAATGGAACAGCTTCTATATCTTGAAAAGTAACACCATAAGTTGTACATTTCTAAACTGTTTATATGTTGTATGAAAACAAAACACGTAGTTCAGTGAAGAGTCTCTTTTCGGGGATGAATTCATTTTCTTAGCTGTAAAATCGCAAATATATACGAGTTATTTTATATGGATGTGTACAGTAAGTTTGTCAAACAAATACAACTGGTTATGGTTATTTTAACTAAACTGGTGAAAATTGGTAAGCTTTGGGTGGAGTTACGTCATACAAAAATGGTCATGAAAATTGGTTGTTAGTCAAAACTAGTGTAGTGATGAACTGTCAGGATGAGCTATTAAAAAGGAGTTACGTTTGAGTGATTTTATTGTACTCAAAGTAGAGAATACGAAATTACCTATGTTGTATAACTAACCGCTATAAACTAATTATTTTTGATTAAATATACTACTTTCAACCATCAAGTAGGTAGTGGTACATTCGGAAAATTTAAGGGATTTCAGCAATAAAACTAATCTAAAATTAGAAGCTACCTGTTTTCATTTAAGTCCACAAGTTAAAGACTAGGTGCGTACGTTTTGGTATAACCCACAAGCCGGAGTGTGTTCCGTGGTACATTTGAATTAGTTACAAGTACATCCAAGTGGTATTTTACAGTGATCCTTGGGGAAAGTACAATACCAGTGATCTCTAATAGCAAATGTTTACCCGAGTAAATTCAGTTACATTAACCTAATGGCTGAGCCTTATCTGTATCTTGATTTATGTGAACATAACATCTTTATTGATTAATGCACCTCTGATAGAAACGGTTAACTACATACGTTAACAAGTGTATAATAGGTCTATAAATTATTGGCTCCGCGACAGAAATCCTAAAAGAACTGTTATTAAGGTGTAACCTGAATTTGAATTTTAAATTTGACAGCACACTTCACAGACAAGTGGATGCAGTGGCAATGGGCTCTTCGTTGGACTCCATTTTGGCAGATTTCTCCCTAAATAAACTAGAAAATGGACCTCTGAACAACTTTATTAGAAAATTCTCATTTTATTACCGATATATGGATGACACCTTTATTCTTTGGGAAAATGATTCGGATTGAAACACATTAATAACTAAACTCAATGAAGTACACCCTGCTATCAATTTCAAAATAGAACTGCCTTCCTAGATGTCCTCCTCTTCATAGCCTCGTTTCACCTTAGTGCAAAAGAAATTATGTAAGGACCTTCAGCCATAGGGTTAAAGCCAGAAGAGGTAACTGAAAATGAACTAAAGATTGTACATGATACCTTGAATGATTGAAAGTAGCTATCCATACAGATTCGTCAAGAAATGTATGACGAGGAATATCGAAAAAGAGTATTCGCAATCCGTCAACAGGAAGCCCTTATACATAAATTGCAATTCAAGGGCGATATACCTAGCGAAATAATTACGAAGAAGTTAATGAAATCAGTTCAAAGAACATTTAATGCCGACAAACTTTAAGTCTTACTTTCTACACGAACGATGGTGATTCCCCAATTGAAAGATGTAGTACCTAGACTAGCTAGCCACTTCTGATTGTATCTACCAATTCATCTGCAATTGTAGTGGAGCAAGTAATATTGGCTATCGCTCTAGGAACGTGATGCTTCGTGCTCACTCGAAAAAAACCTACCGCTATGATGCGGACAAATAAAGGTACAGTGAAAACCATCAACAGCCAGATATGGGACCACATGGTCCAAAGCGACTGGCCACAAAGCAAGCAAAGTAGCATTGGAAAATCCTTCTCCACCATCTATCGGGTACCAAACAAATAAATTGGTAAAAGCGTCCAGATACCGAACACCCTACCAAACAGTAGACCCTATTGCAATTCACCTAAAAAACTTGGTACTCTGTGTGCAGAAGAAGCAGCTACAGCTAGCCAGTCGTACTGTTCTGGACGGCCTTCTGTGGAGTCTCTGCATTCATGAATTCTGCGTTATTATTTTTCCAAATTTCTCTGTCTGATATTGAATGTACTTCAGTGTTATGTTTATGCAGATTATCACATTTACAGATGCTACTGAGCTGTAATCTATTGATATTAGTGATTGATTCGATGTGTACAGCTGCATACAGGCTAGTTAAATTATTAAGTTTATGCACAGAAAAGTTTTAATATACTCATAAATTTTAGATGATATAAACTGACAAGAAGTTCGAAAATTTAGAAAATAGTGCTCAGAAAATTACACTTATATAGTTTTTACACAGGCAGTTCAAGTTTAAACAAAAATAAAG